AAAGAAGATAATTAAATTGATACTTTCTTAAAAATAAATCCTTTCATTTAATGTTTTAACTGATATTGATTTTTTTTCTTTTTTATTATATAAATTTTATTATTGTTATATTAATTGTTATAATAATTAGTTTTTTAATTTTATTTAATTTTATAATAATAAACATCATTTACATATTATTTAATAAACATCAGAACTTAATAATTTCATTACATCATTATGAATTCAACTATTGTTTCTATTAAGTTATCTGATTATGCAGCTCAAGTATATTACTCATTTGAATCAACCTATAAAAGTTTATTTGAAAATATTTATCTCTATGCTGCTTTTAGCAAATTTTGTTATGTACTTCTTAATGATGCATTTAAAATGGTTTGTTGGTTTAAATTAAAAATGAATAACAATGATAATAACTAAATAGGAAGATAGTCTTAACTTAATGCAACCAGAAGATATTCTTAAAGAACACTTACATAGAAAAGACACAAACTATCCAATGCCAAGTCCAAGTGAGTTATGGTGCGTTATGATGAATGAATTAATCACAACAATTCAAACAAGAATGACAGAACTTCAAGTCGATATTGATGGATTTCTTATTTCTATTCCTGATGGAACAGATTATTCGTTATACTCTCTTATTGAAAAGGCTTGTTCCTTTATAACAAAAAATTACAAAATAAAATGCGTTCTTACTTATAATTCTATTATTGCTTCTACTGCTTATTTGAAGTGTTTAATAAATGGAATTGGAAATGAATCAAAAGACATTTTTAGCGTTAAAGCTACTTGTTTCATTGATTTTGGATTCAATTCAACTGAATGTTATGTTTTTCTTCTAACTAATTTAAATGCTATTTGCTTGGCTAAAGGAAGATGTAAAGGAGGATTAAATGATACATATCAAATAATAAGAAAAAAATTAACAAATAGTACAGAATTAGTTCCATTCGATAAATGGAAATCAATAGAGAAGACAGATTGTAAATTAATAAAAGAGTCATTCAGCTGTTATTGTAACCCAAAAGTAAATGATGTCCATTTTACTAATTTCAACCAAGATGACATTCTAATTTGTAGGGACGATTTAAAGAATGACTTTGATAACCTTTGTAAAGATATATCTAGTATGGTTAAAAAAACAATAGAAAGAGCACAAGGAATGAGCGAAAAATTAAAAACAATAAGTGTTGGATCTCGTGAATTTACTCTCTCAAATTTAAAAATTGATAATTTTTATATCAACTCTGAAATAAAAAATCAATTTTTGATTGAAGAGTTAGAAGGACAATCATTAACATTTAATGACACTAACTATGGTTCAACTCTGTTTGCTATTGGATGTTCTTTATCCACGTCCCTTTATCAAAGAAAATTTGATGCTAATAAAAAAGGGTTTGAAGCAAGTGATAATATTAATGACTTATTCACCATTCAAGAAATGATTTATCCATCAAGATTTATTTTAAGAAAGAATAATAACGAAAATGCTGATATTCCATTCCCAAACGAATATTGTTCAAGCGAAGACATGATTCAAATAGGACAACTTGAAAAGGGAGATTATAAATTATTTGATAGTGAGTATAAGGATAAATCCAATAAAATGAAAGAACTTGGAATGTTTAGCGTTCTTAGTAATGGTTGTTATTACGCTTCATTGGGTAATTCCATTGGAATTAAACCACAAGAAATTTTATGTGATGTTTTTGGTACTAAGATGGTGGAAAATTTTACTGTTGAAAAAAAAGAACTTGAGACTAAAGACTATGTATGTCAACGTGTTGAAAAACATTTTTCTAATGGTATTGATGAGTTAGAAATTTTATGTTGTGGAGAAATTATTCAACCTCATACTGCAGTTTTTGAGGAAGGAATAAATGATGAAATACAGAGGTTTAATCACCTTAAAACGTCTGCTGATGAATTTTTAAAACGAGGAAATAAAATTTTAACAGAGGCATTACGTAATTGCAAAGACTCGAAAATAACAAGAGAAGAAATTAGTAGAGAAGTGTATTCAATAAGGCTATTGTCTAATGGAGATATTGATAAATTGAATAGTGCGTGGGACAAGTTAAAAGCTAAGCTTTTTAATAAAACATAACAATAAGAAATAAAAAAATTATTTTAGAAATTGTTTTTAAGTTTATTTTAACTCTTAAAACCAAAAAAGAAAGATGAGGTTAATGACAATATAACAGACTCATCAGAAACACAAGTCGTGAATAATATTTTCATCAACGTA